TTTTAAAGCAGCCAAAAATGCTTATTCGCAATAATAGCTTCTAAAAACTATGTAACGTATTGAATTTCTTCGGCCTTCAAGCTTTCAGGTATTTCCTTCGAGTTATTTAAAGCAATTGTCAAGTTGATTAAGTTGGAAATCATTGTGCTGATCATATAAAGCTTATTTCAATTGAATAATGCTAAAATTAAGTTATGTAATTAAAATCTTCCGCACGTTTCATCAAGGACTTGTGGGAAATACCATCGTTTAAAATAATGTCTGTGTCTTTTACATTAGACCAATTTCAAAGATTTACTGTACCATCAAAACCCTTAAACAAATTCGTCTTTTGCTGAAGCACACCTAATAAGTTTAGTCGTTTGTTTGCATTTTGGTTGCCATTTACAATTGGTACAGCTCCACCGTGAAGTTAATCTTTGCTTGAACTTGTTCATCAACTATTTCTTTACATTAAAAGCGAAATTTCAACTACTTCCTATCCGTCCCCACTCCGTTCAGCCTGTAGCTTAAATCACTTTTTAGAACAAGATTTAGACTACTGCTAATGGTCACCAAATGTCCAAAACAAATTCAGTCTTTCAACTAACAAGTACTGTCTGTTTTATAAAGTAGTTTAGATGAAAAACTGCGATATTAAGAAACAAAAAGCTACAAAAAATTCTTTAATTAGATACCTCAAAAGACTTGTTGAAGTAAAGTAGCCAACACTTAGAAAGAATGTTTTGCTGTCAACACAGTCCAGCTTTCTGCCGCAAAGAAAATAAAACTTAAATAAGCTAGTTATTAAGCGATGCAACCTAAGCACGTATGACTGGTTTCTGATCTTGCAGCCTCATCCAACAGCCAGAAAAACCGTGTTTTCTGGCTGCAAACCTGAAACTGACATATCTGTATTCCTTGCAAAACACTAAAAACATTTATAAAGTGCTCTTTAAACAGGCGATCAAATTTGCTTTTTTTGAATACCATAATCTGTCTAAAGTACTAATGAATTAGCCGTTTACAACGATAAGCCGTAGGCTTTATCCACTTGACAGTTCAATAAAACGCTAAAATGACTCGTCAATTTAACAGATTGTCAAAATCCACTTTAGTAAATTTTATTATAATATCGATTCATTTGGACCGAAAAAAAACCCACTGTATCAGTTAAAATAAAGTCTGAACGGCAAATCATCATATTTTAGTAGTTCAATGGTTTGTTTCTGCCAGCCTTTAAATTTTGTCAAGCAAAAAATAAGGTAAATAGAATTCTGAAAACCCTTTTCAAATCATCCTTCCCTACTTCTCGTGTTAGAAAGAGACTACTGCCTTCCCTATTTTAAAATCGTTCATTACCGCTGTTCCTTTTCACTCCTCCATTAAGCTTATGTTTTCTAGCCGTATTCTAAACAGAGAAATGAAAAAATAACAAAAAATTTTAATTAATAAAAGTGGTATTGAATTGTCATAATAATGCCAATAAATTGACGAAAAAAAGAGACAACTTTTAAGTACAAGTAAAGGTCCGTACTGTACACTATTTCACACCAAAAAATTCAAATTGTACAGTTTTCAATACCTGTATTCTAAAAATTCTTAATACAATAGCCGCGAATGTCGTAGACTAAATTTTTAACAACATTAGGTTTGCAGATTTACGTATGATACGAACGATCAGCAGAATAAAAGTGGTAGCGGCGAAGTGGAACGATTGGTAGGTTACTGGGAAACTACTTTAGCAGCCACAATAACAGACAGAACTTCCTTAACCTCATGTGATAAATGAGGCTTGATAAATAGATAGATAATACTTAGCAAATTCTAATTACCAATGGAATCCACTCAAACAGATCGCAAACCCCTTCTTACAACTGAACTCTAAAAAAAGCTATCAACACAGAAAGTCAGTCACCTTAAACTGTGCTTTGAGTCTTTTGACCTGCTAAAAATGTCCATCACTCTACAAACATTACTTTTCACTTTACTGCATTTCATTTTACTCAATTTCCTCTCTTTGGTTGTCCTATGCCTAAAACTTTTAGCCTTTACTATTGCTGAATATTCTACAACATTTTCCTTCCAAAGCGTTTATTACAATTGTGATATTCCCAAGAATTGCCAAATAAATTTTTTTTTTTCACTGCCCCCTCCTGTAAATTCTAAATTCTGCCCGTTTATTACTAGTACAGATGTTAGAAACCTAATGCCTCTTTAAAATAATAGGTGTATCTCACAACTCACACAAAATCATCATCCGCTACAATATCCATTTGTCTTTCAGACTGCACCAAATTATCCAGAATAATTCACTAGCGACGAGATATAAATTTGCCAAAGATTATTCAACGAAAATTTGACGCTTCTAATAAAGGATAATTGACTACCAAAATTCAACGTGAAATTAAACCAAAGAGAAACTCAGTGAGACTTAACTGTACTGTATACAACTTAACCTTCCAAGAAGTGGCGATCATCGGGTACATAGGCATATGCACATAAGCAAAAAGAAACACCCCGCAAATAAAAGACATCCTCTTATTCAAACAAAACGAATGAAAAAAAATACTTCACTAAGCATGACTATGTTGCACTGATTTCGGTGAAAAAAATTTACAAAACCAACAAATTAAGGTATATTTTTCAAATATCAGTTACCAGCTAGCATAAAAAATTCAATTACCTTTTATCGATAGGTCTAAACTGCACCAGGTTCTTATACTTATTTCTGATAAATGTTCAGTACAAAAGATTTATATGAACAGAAAAAATTCAGAAATCATATCAACAGAAACAAACATTATCAAATCTGTTAAAATCTGAAAAAGTCAGAAATAGTGCGGGGAAGACAACTGTATCTCAACAAACAGATTTTTTTCCGACCGAAAAAACGAATGAAAAGAAATATACAAATATGTAAAGAAGAAAAGAATGTAGCCAACAAATCGGTTATTTCCAATTCTTCAATCATTCCTAATTTTCAAGTCTGCCAGCCTTTTTTTTTTTTTTGTTTCAAAAGAAACAAAATAAAAAAAAACGCATAAATTTCAAGCAGTTAAAAACAGCCACCTAAGATCAATTATTTCGCCCTTACTAGGTGTTTCTAATGCTAATGGTGTGAAGTTATTTAAAAAAAGTGTGAATTTCCTAACTACATTCTTTTCTTTTTCATAATAACCAACTAGTATAACTATTTGCTTTTCTCACCGTTTGTGGCTTTCACTATTTCGACAATAACCGGCGTAAGATCGTCTCTAAGTTTATGCAATGTTCCCAAACCGGCATCAAGGCCCGCAATTACGATAACTATCAACGACTGTATATTCAGTACCAGCGCCTGATTTGTTTTAAAACTAAAAAATCAATACATTCTCCATTTATGAAACCCGAATATAGAGTTATGCTTTCCTGACTATTTTTTTTGGTCCAGACCCTAGCGTTATGTACGAAGTCATAATCATTCACAGCTCATTACCAAAGTGTCAAACTTTTTTTCTGGCCTAATTCAAATTTCGGTAAGTAGTCGATAACCATTTGGTACGTTAAAGCCAGTCTTGTATGGGTATCCTCATCGGCATCTGAAAACTGTTATGCTGAAAAGAACAAAAAATGAAAATTAAATCATTCGGAGCAAAACGAACAAAAAACTCACCTGCTCCACAACTTGCTGAAGCAATTGTGACTCCGTCTTCATCAGTGACCGATATGCTTTCAACTCCATACGTATCTGTCACTAACCTTTTTAAAGTACCGTTTATGTCAACCATTTTTGGAGAGCAAAAACTTGCAAAACCTACAAGAGCACTATAAACATATCACAACAAACCGCAAACAGTAACTAAAGCCACAAGTTCCATCCGTCGCCGACAAAGAAACTTCGTCCACGTGAGAAACCCTCTAGAGCTTACCGACAAAGAATTGATCTCATGTGCCCTCCACGTTGGGCACCAGGTAACCGGCGCAATCTCTGCATTAAGAAACGAGTGCGACCAAAGCAAAAATTTTTTAAAGTACCTAACACAATTCAACCAAAAAAAGAACACCATCTTCCGATGCCGAAGAATCACACTCTCCAAATCAACACGAAGTTATCTAAACCAAACAATTCAGCAAATGACAGTAACTAGCCACGACCTTCGCTTCCAAGTATCAGAATCGACACACCACTATGTTGAATATAAAAAACAAACGCTGAGGTCAAGCAACCATACAATCATCCAGAAGACGGCCTCCAACCTTCGAGCTAGTAATAGATGATCAACCGATTAAACGTTGGGAAAGTACGAAACAGTTAGCAAAAAACTTTTTTTTAAAACTCTCAGGTACAATTTCGTTCTGAATTCTTAACATTACACAAAATAACAGTAATATCTTGGTTACAGAAATGTAGGTACGAATTCTCTAAAATGTGTTGTCACCAGTGAAAGCTTATTAATAATAAAAACTATAACCCAACAGTACGCCGTATTGAATTCACAAATCACTTTTTGATGACAGAAAAGGCACCACTGGTCGCGCCATATATAACAGAAGGTAATCTTACGAGTACTTTAAGCTAGTATAAAGTGTAGTTCAGCATCATCCAAAAAAGCTGATAGCACTAAAAAGTAATTTTAAGAATTTCAAGTTTTGATCACAATCAAGTCCAATACTCCGCGGCAGTCACATAAGGAATCATAGAAGGCAATACTGAGAAAGTGAGGATAACATTTCAAAAAAGTATAAAACATTTAAAAATGACAATCAAAACAAAACACAGAACAGAAGTAAAAAAACAACGTCAATGTCTAAACAACACTCAGTTCATGACTAAAGTTGATCGCATCAATAAAATTTTTAAAGTACTGATTAATTAACGGGGCAAAATTCATGAGCAAGAGATCAAGGTGAAGAAAATCAGTCACGGGGTTGGTCAGAAGTACCAAAGCAGGATACAAACTTTAAAGCTTATTTCAAAAGCTTAATAGCTGTTCAAAAAGCCTTTCAGAAAAGTACTATGTCCAATAAAAACTACTCTCTTATTCGAAACAGTGATCTTGAAAGATTAAACGCACATAAGGTTTTTCTTCATCTAGCAAAGAAGTGCAGAACGGGCAAACTGGATGAAAACTGTTCGTCCCATGCGGTAAAGGAATTCGTGACCAGTACCTAAACTTACAAAGTCAAAAATCAAAACAAAATCCACCAGGAATAGTAATAATCCACACGTGTACTTCGTGAACCTGAATGAATTAAACAAATTTATAGTTAATGAACTTTACTATTCCCATGCAACACCTACTTAAATAAGTAACAAAAACACATAGAAAAAAGCAACTTGATAAACACTTTTATGTTTTATGTGCAAAAATTATAAGAGCATTTACCTCACAGTGGCAAGAGATGCAACATGACCGCAAGGATTGAAAGCGTGGTCTAAAGTTGCAGAATCCAAATGAAAAGCGGATTCCATCCCCATCACAAGTTGAGTGACTTTAGTAGAGTCTGATCGACACACAGGACATGTGTAGGCTGTAGTATTACTAACATTATGGAGTCCCCAGTCATGCTTCCCCTGTACATGCCCACAGTTAAGATACACCTGAAAGTTCCTTGCGTAAAAGTAGCCTAATATTGAAGCAAAATCAGCGAAAGAAAAAAGCAGCTGTAAAATAATCATTAGAACAGTGAAACAAACGTATGGTTGTTTAGAAGAACCAGAATTAGCCGACTTCTTTTTCGGAACTTTTAAAGTATTCAAACTAACTGGACACTGTGGCCTGCCTGCATTTAATGCTTCTAATCTGAAAAAAAAAAGCATGTTTTCAACAGAATGCATAATTACTTTAGAAGTTTGAGTACAAACTCCATTATGCAAAGACAAGTGGGTAAAAACAAATAGTGTTGGAACTGTAAGTCAAATCATAACTGCAAACGCGAAAACTAAAGACAGCATGGAAAACCAGTAAAAACATACGCTTGCTCCAAATCATCTCTGCTAGGACTGTTGAGGAGCCCTTTTTGAGTACGCCATAAAAGTGTTGCTCCACACAAATCTATCAAAGTCCCATCCTTAAATAAATTATCTTCTAATTGAATTCTTATGAACAACAAGTTAATTATCTAATTCGCAAAAATTAATAAAACTAATAAATTATAACCGTCTAACAGCCATTTAAAACAGCAGCAAAAGAGGACCGTGGAGAAACTGTATTCCATTAATAGAAAATATCATTTCACGTTCCTAACAACTGAAGGCAAAAAATTAAAGCTAAGTGGTGAGTAAAAATTTACTTGACCGATCACCTCAAATAATTGTCTATAAAAGCAATATGCACCAACAACTAAATTTTTAAGGCCGACATAATCAGACAAAGCTTTGCAGAGAAAAAGCAAAAGGACTGCGAGTCTGGGTCAAAAACTTAAGTTCTTTAAATGGCAAAAGAATTTCCTAAAAGAAAAGGAGTAACGTTTATTTTTTTGATCCGTTGTATTATGTGGTACGTTGTAAAACCTAGTCTTTGGCGTGCAGCCAGTAAGCCAATGAAAGTGAAGTACTAACAAATGTAAACATCTGCCATAATCTCGCAATTAGAAACTACCCACTAAAGGTTTAAGGCTAGTCATCTAACGGTAGATCAGTGTATAATGAAAAAATAACCTGCAGTTGATTCGTCTCATCTCGAACCAAGTCACCCCGCGTAGTTGATGAACGAGCTTTTCGCAAATTGTAAATGTCGCCATCAACAGAAACTTCTCTCCACAAATACATCTTTCTGCAGTCCTCGTCAGGAACTTCTTCATCCTAGAATAAATTCAAACAAGTAATTCCACTAAAAGCACTAAAAAAAGTAAGCTAAAAACCTTCATACGTTGCTCCTCATTCTATCTCGCTGGTAAGAAAAACTAATCAAGCAAAAAATAAAAATTAAAAGTATTTCACCACCATTGTGATAAATAAAGATAAATTGGTTCCTCCGTTGGAGTCAATTAGGAGTGGTCTATCAGAAATGTAAAAAACAGAAATATATATCTGAAAAGAACG